CACCCCCAACCCTTCTTCCACCTCCATCACCCACACCCATCCACCATAGCCGACCACCCCCAACCCTTCTTTCACCTCCATCACCTACACCCATCCACCATAGCCGGCCACCCCCAACCCTTTTTCCATCTCCATCACCCACGCCCATCCACCATAGTCGACCACCCCCAACCCTTCTTCCACCTCCATCACCCACACCCATCCACCATAGCCGACCACCCCCAACCCTTCTTCCACCTCCATCACTTACATCCATCCGCCATAGCCGGTCACCCCCAACCCTTCCACCTCCATCACCTACACCCATCCACCAGAGTCGGCCACCCGCAACCCTTCTTCCACCTCCATCACCCACGCCCATCCACCATAGCCGACCACCCCCAACCCTTCTTCCACCTCCATCACCCACACCCATCCACCATAGTCGACCACCCCCAACCCTTCTTCCACCTCCATCACCTACACCCATCCACCATAGCCGGCCACCCCCAACCCTTCTTCCACCTCCCTCACCAACACCCATCCGCCGTAGCCGACCACCCCCAACCCTTCTTCCACCTCCATCACCTACACCCATCCACCATAGTCGACCACTCCCAACCCTTCTTCCACCGCCGTCACCTACACCCACCCACCATAGCCGACCACTCCCAACCCTTCATCCACCTCCATCACCTACACCCATCCACCATAACCGACCACCTCAACCCTTGTTCTTCCTCCATCACCTACACCAGTCCACCACAGCCAGCCACCCCGACCCTTCTTCTTTATCGTCTCCTTCACCCACTCAAAAGTCATGAGGATCGCAAGAGGGGGGGGGGGGGGGTAGATGGGATCTTGGGTAGATGTAGGTCAAGAGGGGGCGAGGTCGATTAGGATGTGAAAACTTCTTGAATTTTCTCTCTCTCCCTTTCCCCCTTTCTCTCTCCTTCTCTCTCTCTTCCCCCATGCTTCCAAACTCCTTAGCCCTTACCTCTCCCTCACTCCTTCCTTTTCATGGCACTTAATTGACCTCTACCCTCACCTGTTACATTGCCAGGGGACGAACGGTAACGAACTTGATCCTCACTTGGTGGAAAGAGAGGGCAAAGGGAGGGCCGCCGGTCCCTTGTGCCACCAAGAAGGAAAAGCGTTGGACTGCTGTGGACATTGGATAAAGCGGAAAGGAGTGCTGTTTTTGTAACAAGGTCAGTCTGACTCAACCATCTCCCCCGACTGCATGACTAAGGTGAATGCATGGTTTTGCTTGAGGGAAGGACGGGACAACCAAAGGATCATCGAAGGGCAAAGAAAACTTAGGCTTGCTGGGAGGGATGGTGTGTTGACCCCAACGGGGATTGTATTTGGTCCATGCTTCGTGTGGTGTTGTGCAGGTGAGTAGCTTGGGGATGGGTGTTGAGCGGGACTGGATTCACCGGGAAGCCGACAAGGGAAAGACTTGGGATTCGGGCGGGCCACGGATGTGGGAGGGACTTGAGGATTGAAAGCATGACTGCATGGTAGACCATGGGGTGTGACATTGTGTGTCGATTGAATGCAATGACTCTCTTGAATGCAGTGTACGCCCGGAAGGACTAAGGGCGGTCTTGGATAGGTGAATGCGATACTAGTGACTCGAGCAAAAAAAGAAAATATCGGCTAGGGGTTCGGGCGGTGCCACTCCACCCCGAGGATGCCGCAGGGGCGGTCTTGAGTCGCTAGGCTTAGTGAAAAGGTGTGTGGTCCAAGGGATGACGCTTGGCCTACACACAAAATGAAGGTAAACTCTCGATGAATTCCTTGGAATGCCTGCGTATTGGAAGGAGCAATTGCCTGGCCAGACTTAACTGAATCGAGAAAACGCCACGAGTGCCAAAGAGCTATCATCTTGACGCGAGAGTGGAGCTACATCCCCCAATGTAAAGCCCTCTCGCAACTGGCCCAGCCCCATTCATCTCAAAGCACTAGGTGGGGGTGCCCCTGGGACGAACGACCCGCGCGCTGAGCGTGAGCGTGGGCGGGTCGAGCCAAGTGGGACCCGCAGTGGGGTCGACCAAGGCTCGAAAGTCCTTCAAGGTGCGGCCCCTACAAAAATGGTGGAGGTGTCGGGTACTGGGTTAAACTGACCCATACGGTCTCGAGGGTGGCGCCCGACACATGACCGTGAATATAAACATTAAGAGAAGGAACGAGGACTTGTGTATGCTCTATCCCTTGAGTGAATCAGATTTGAGGGTGGCTGGGCGCATGGCAAGGCCAGACCTGGAGGAAAAACATGCATGTTGCACATTTGATCAGCCATCTCCCTTGGAGGTGACTCTTGTCCTCCTTCCCTCGAGCTGATGTTCGTCAGACCGGGGAAGCCTTGGGCAAGCCRCAGGTCGACCCCTCCTCTTCGTGTGAAAGGGGGGTTCCGGTTACCTGGCAGGCGGTTGGGATTTCGGGCTAGTCCGGGTCCCAATGAAAATCCCGCGGCGGAGCGATCCGACCGACCCGGGTGCCTTCTCTCCTCTTCGGAGCCCAGCGGGCTCCATGCACCACACTTAATGCTTGAAGGAACCTCATATGAACACAAAGGGTAATCGAGAAGGAACAATCCTKCCCTATGAACGGACACACAAGCGAAGATAAGGGAATGAAGGGAGTTGCTAGACTCCGAGGAAAACTAGCTCACCTTTGAAGATGCCCACGAGAAGGAACAGGGCACTATGTATGGAAGTTAGGGGTGAGTGGCACACACTGTCCCGAGGGAAAAATTGTGAGCTATGGGTAGGAAGCGTTGGGCGCACCAGGGGAAAGGCACTTGTGTTATGTGTGTCCCACTTGGGACGTGTGATTGCATGAATGGGATTTCGAGCGTCCTGCCATTTGGAAGGAAAGGAGGGGTCTGCACCGGCCACTTCGGATTGCCAAACACCGCTCTCTTTGCAGGCTGCCGTTTGTTCGTATGCGGGGGTCAGGCCACCGAGCTGTCTAACGGGAGTTTGTCACGTCGAGTGCTTATTAGCATTCTTGTCCACGAGGTAACGGGCTTCGGCTCGATTGATCCACCGGGCAGGGTGTGAAACGTTCCTCAGGCGGGGCCTAGCCTGTGGACTGGCAGAGGGAGCACCACTGCATGGGGGCAAAGACGGAGCTTGGGAGGCGGTCAGTAGCTTCTCGTAGCCTGGTTTGGGAAAGGCTGTTCCTTATCGGACCGATGCAAGTGAATGCCTGGACGGCTGGCTCCAATGGCCCTACCGAGATGTGCGGGGTGATTCCCGAGATTAACGGTGGGTACACGAGCGGCAAGTCGGAATGGAATATTCTGGGCAAGAAGGTGAGGGCGACCGCCCACTGGAATCTGGGTACCGCGCTCGCGACGGTTGAGCTGTGCTTGAGGTATGGGATAAAACCCTGCCGATAGTAACAGTGGAGAGACCATTTCTGGGGAAAAGGCCGGTGAGGAGATGACCGACCTGTGTGCGACGTTTGCCTGAGTTTTGCTTTTTGTGCCTCCATCTGTAAAGTTACCTGATGAATGGTGGATGGGGACCGAGCTTCTAAGTCTATTCTCACCTCCAGGTCTATGTCCGCACGAGTGAGAGAACATGAGGAAGAGGCTGGATAGGAGTCGGAAGAAAAAGGAACCCCGAGAAAGCAATGTCAGCTAAGCATGATCAATTGGGGGTATGGTAGGGCAATGGCACCTGGGAAATGGATAAGAAAAGTTAGGGAGACCCGGATGAGGGGTCTGAAAACAAATCTCATCTAGAAAAGGAAAATCAAACCATCCGACCATAAGGGGCCGTGTGGTACTCTCATGTGGAAAACAGGACAAGCGCCAGGAAACAAGATGGCGCGATGGTTGTCGCCTCCTGTCTACTCTAGTGGTCCGGAAATGCCTATAGAGGTAAAGGATGGGGTATCTGTTGTTCTCCCGGAAGAAGGGACGTGGACCGACCTAGAACCGGCCTATGAGACCATGATGCTGGACGAGAAGGACACGTTCCTCTGGATAGAGACAATCTGGACTAAGGTCAGCCTGACGAGACTTTCACCTAGCTTGATGGACCTAGAATTCCTTGGAACAGTGGAAGCTCGAGAATGGGTCTACCTATCACAGGAATTGGAAAATGCAATGGTAGTGGGACGAGTATTGGGCACGACACCGGATCAGCTGTTTAGGCAAGCGGAACGGGAAGTGGTATGGGCAGCATGTCAGCGGGCAGAAATGGAGATGGAAAGGATGGAGGTGCGAGTGGAACTCAGGGACCGGAAAAATATGAGACGTCCTCTTAGGACAATGAGGTGCGTGCTACCCCCGTTTCTGGTGGATGCAGTCTTTGGGACCAGGGATAGACTGGAACGTATATGCCAATCGATGACACACCTGAGGTTGTACCAATGTGCTAGACAAGACTTCTTTAGACTGTTGGTGAAAGCAGGGCCGTTTGAAGGAAACTGGGCGGAAGAATTAGCTGAGGTGTTAAACCTCCTCAGCGCCGACGAAGTCTTTGTTCCTAGTCCGGTGTATTGGCAAATAGTTTACCGAAACGTGGCGGCAGGGGAAACCTTCTTGGAAGGGGTGAAAGAGATGTTCTTAGACGAGGAGGAGGATTCTAGTGATGAGGAGGACGGGTATGAGATAGAGGACTGAGACTTCTGAGGGGAGGGGCTTACATGGGGAAAATGAGTTGTCGACTATGTGCAGGTAGGGAGCGATGGCCCGGGAACTCGAGCTATGGGACTGCACATGGGAACCAAGACGAGTCGGAAGGGGAGTAGAGATGTCAATACCGTCGGGCAATGAATGAAAGGGGACCATATGTGATTGGCGGGGGTATGAGATTGTGCCGGAGCTATCGTACCTTTGGATAGAGCGTGTCTGGAACCCGCTGAGGGAAGAGGAAGGATGGGAAGAGATTGCRGAAGGAAGGGTGGAATCAGCYGGGAMGATYGTTCTCTCTRAACAAGGTTGGCACCTGTTCTGCACAACGCTCGCGGCAGGACAGAACCCGATGTGGCTKTTAGGGGACGCTGAGGCAAGGGCTCGACAGGCGGGGGAAWGGTTTGCTAACAAAGGYTGGGATACGGTCAGCAGTAGAGTCGTGATGGGAGGATGGAAGGAATTTAAACCGCCTGGCGCCCGAATCAAGACCTGGGTGCCCGAGTTCGTGGCCGACTGGTTTGGGGGTTTTTATCACGTAACAGAGGCAGCGGACATGATGGAGCGAATACACGTGAACTGCGCATGGCTGGCAGAGGAATTCTATAGGACGTCCTTGAAGTATGGGCCCTTCCATGGCGATAGAGCCTGGAAGGTCCTTATCATTTTGGATATCGAAAGGAATGATTGGCAGGAGGTGGCTCCGGAAACTAGGGAGGCCATAATCCGCCATGAGGTAGCAGCAACACCTTGCTATGTGGATGATGTGTTCAAACTGTTCAAAGTACTGTGGTTCGACTAAGCGCAGGAAAGCCGTGGGGCTAGGCAAGTATGGGAAAAATTGCTAAGATAAGGGAATGGGATGTCTGGCCATTGTAGGGTTCAGTGCGGACTGCGAGCCAGGAGATCAAAGGCGAGTGCGTAATGACGCGAAGAAGGACGTTCCTCGAGGAACGCCCCTTGGGCATTAAACCGCCTAGGGAAGTACCGGGCGGGATAGAGGTTAGCTTGCCAGCGGCAAGTGGAGGCTGGCACCGGGTGGCGGATTGGGTCGGAGTCGAACTTGCGGAAAACATGGTTTACTTAGTAACGAAAGTTGAGTGGCGTGCAGACGAGAATGGGGAATGAAACTCGGACCCGCGGGGGCATGTGCATGCTGAAGGGCGGTTGTATATGTCAGAGGATGGGTGGCGGGAGTTTGGAGTTATGTTGGCGTCAGGGGAGGATCCATTGAGCATGTTCGAAGAGGCGTGGCAGTTGGTGTGGCAGACGGGAATCGAATTCGTGGACCCAGGGATGGATGATGTAACAACAAACCTTAGGGTAGCCATGGTCGGGAGCTTTGAAAATGTCCGGATGAGACTGCCGCCCTTCCTGCTAGAAAGGCTAGGCGGAGTGGAACTTGTCAGACGCGCGGTAGCTGACTTTGCCACTCTGACATATGAGGACCCAATGATACATCGGGAATACTACCGGGCCTTCCTAGAAATGGGGCCGTTTAGCGGGGAGCAGAAGTATGAGGTGTTGCGGACTCTGCGCGCCGTTTTTACCACCAGGCCAAGGGCCCCGGTCGTAGGTGATGAAGTTCTATGGGGCGTCGTCCGGCGGGAAATAAGTTAGGGGATGACATACGTGGATGATTTACACCGATTGTTTGAGTCGACGGGAGTAGGAACAGGCTGGTAAAAGAGTCGAGAAAAAGAAAGAGATAGAAGGGGAAAGAGGCATTGAGATAAGGACCAAGGAATTGCTCAGGTAAGGGCCGGGGAATGGATGGAATAAGCAAACTCGCTTGCTGTTTAAACTGTGCAGGGGACCGCTAATCGACAATGGCGATGAGACTTGCCCGGATGTCGCGACGACTCACGCACCCGCGGCCACCCACGGAATGTGGGGGCGGATGGGAGGTATCGCTCCCGGCAAGCTACAGGGTCCGAGGGATTGATACCGAATGGAGAGCCGTGACCCTAGGAAGGGACCAGGCGTTCATGATGGTGGAATGTTTGTGGAATGGTATGAGGATTAATAGGGGGTCAGGGGACGATCTGTACATTGACCTCAGGGTGACCGGGACCGTATACCTGCCAGAGCTTGGGTGGCATATGTTAGGAACGGAGCTCGCACTAGGACATGGGTTGTTACCAATCTTTCAAAGGGCTACTAGGGTACTGAACCGAGTAGGCCAGGAAGTGCGAGGGAGGAGGAATGTGGGGTTGAGGATCCGGGTGGAAGTAGGAGGTTAGCGAGAGTTTAAGGCCCCAATGACAGGGCTGAGGTGCCGAGTCCCCCGCTTCATGGTGGACCTGGTATTTGGCAGCCTTGAGAGGGTTAGGGACCTAGTGGATTCGACCCTGGTCTGGATTCACCACTTTCGACCACAGACAACGGGGATGTTTTACGACGTGTCGGTCAGGCATGGACCGTTCTGGGATAATCAGGTCTGGGAATTACTCGACCTGATTGAAATTTTGATATTCGGGTTGCCTCGCTTGGCGTTTGAGGAGTATGAACCAATAATCGTTAGGGAAATAGAGATGGGAGAAAACTATCTTGCTGGGGTGGCCGATCTGTTCGAAGAACCGGATGAGCAAGGCAGGCCTGAGGGACCGGCATGAGAAAATGCGTCAGAAAGAAATAGGGAAATAAGGGACGGGGACTGAGATAAGAAGGCAGCTATCACCTAAAAAGGGGGGGCAGTGGTTGGAGTTTCGTCCGACCCGATAGCAGGACAAGGAGGAACTAGGAAAACCACCTGCACCAGAAAACTTTGGGGCATTTGGAGGTCGAAAAGCCAAAAGGGCCATCCTCGATAAGGAGGCCACTGGGCTCAAACACCACCTTAAGAGCCAAAGCGCGGCAGTGATAAAATGCCAAGCAGCGGCAGCAAGCCCCCCGGCGGGAGGAAACCTGAAGGACGCCCTGGGAAAGAAAAGTCAGAAGAGTCGGGCCGATTAAACGTACGACGCAAAAACATGGGAATAGGCGGATTTTAGGGTCGGGGCTAGGACAGTTATGAACAACCGGCCACTTTTTCGCAAAAACAAATTTCCATGTGCAGGCTAGGTAAAGAAATAGCGACTGAGGAAGGGATCGATGACCAGCAGAGCGGAGGGAATTAGGGCACGAATGGGGATGGGGAACGAAACGAGGGATCAGCCAGGGATCGAGAGTCGGCCAAACTGGAAGGAACCTGAGAAGACGGAAAAAAACGCCTCAATTGGAGAAAGTTCGGGGAAAGCTGGGGGCAGCAAAAAGGGACCTCAGGAAAACAGGGAAGGGGGAAATGATATGAGAACAAGCCCTCGGAACTCAGCAGGAGCCACCCCTAAAAAGACAAAAGTCTCGGATGCCAGTCGTAAATCGGCAGAGATAGAAAAGCAGACTGCAGAATTTAAGGCAAGGCTTATCGAGCAGATGATGGTCGAGGATGAAGAGGACCCCCAGGGCGCAGGGTCACGTGAGGGACGCAGGACCGATCAGGACGAGGCCAGGTATGAGGGGAAGGATAATAGTCACAAAGGAACACCTAGTAAGAAGGGGAAGGACAAGAACGACCCCCCGACGGAGGAGACGGAAAACGTTATGACCCCGTCTGCCATCGACAGCGGCACTAGTCGACTGCCAGCCACGTCGAAAGTAACAGGGGCGTGCGACGGACTCTGGAGCCTTAGGGAAAGGGTGCTAGGATCGTTTGACCCAGAAGGAACGCCGAAAACCAAGGAGAAGCAGAGGGAAAGCAAGGAAGGGGAAGGGACCAATGCAGCTAGAGAAGCAGATAGCTCCGAAGGTGGTCTCAAGAGGATAGTCACCACCCTCACCCGGGCACTAAACAAGAACCAGGGATATCTCGCAGATGCAAAGAAGAAACTCACATTCGACGGGGCAAACATTACGGAGTTCCTGATAGACTATGAGAACCTAGCAGCTTTACTAAAATGGACGGAAGAGGAAAAGATGGAGCACCTAGGGCAGCACGTGTCGCTAAGCTTGGGAAGGGACATTATGACCATCGTCGCGTCTAGTGGATCCTGGAAAGAAACCAAGAACGAGATGATGAGGAAATACATGAAGGCAAAGAAAATGGCAACAAAGGCCGAATTAGCCGCAGTCCAAAGGAGAAACTCTGCGAATTTCCGGGGTAACGGACCGCATAATGAGTAAATACTTCCTCAGGCTGTTCTCCGAGTTTGATAAGGATAAGATTTTGTCAGCATACCAGCAGACCAGTAAGTTCGAGTACACGAGAGATGTGGACTTCAGCACCGTAACAGACCTTGCGGAAAAGACAGTGGTCACCGAGACACTAGCCCTACTTAAGGAAGGGGAGGTCATAGATCTGACCGGGAAAACATGAGATAAGGTTAAGAAAGGGATAGAAAGCTTGCACGAGCGAGTGCATGGGGTTGACAGCAAGATGGAAAGAATGGAAAATGCATTGTTAGTAATGCAGGCCCAAGTGTCCAGACCCGCCCTCCCGCCCCAAGAGGCCGGGTCCCGGCAACTGTAGCAAACCGAGAATTTGGCAGGAGGGACCCGGCCAACGAACAATGCAAGTATTGCACCATGATCGAGCATTTCGTACGGGCCTGTCCGAGACTCAATCACGATATCGAGCGGCAGAGGTGCAACAGGTCCCTCAAAGGCGAGATCCTCGGACCCAGGGGAGAGCATGTCAATTGGAACTCGCCAGGAGGGATGCGGCGAGCCGTCATCCTCCTGAATAACTTAGAGATAACTGCCGTAGAAGCAGAGCCAATAGCAGAGATTATCTGGGACCAGCCAAGGGGACGGGGACCACACGCCAATTTTATCCTAGAAGGCAATGGGCAGGATAGAGTAAATATCACTACCCGACGGGCTGGCGCGAAAAAGAAGCTCATTCGAGACACAGTAATGGAAGAAGTCGCGGGGGCTAGTGCGGATGAGGAGGAAGCTGAGGTCGGGGAATAGGAGAAGGTCTATGGAAAAATGAGGGAAGAGGAACCGGTAGACAAAGCCACGGTGGCAAAAAAGAAGTTCAGATACCAGATTCCGATTTTGACGCTGCCCGAATTAGATGACACACTGAGCAAGCTCCTGGGCACCATGGTGTCAGTATTCTTCTAGACCATGCTGCAGGCAAGCCCGAGACTGCTCAAGGGCGTCAGGCAGCTATTGACGTGTAGACGTGTAGAAGTAGAGGAGGCTCCGAAACCAGAGGAACAAGGACCCGAGGAGGCTGAGGCGCCACAAGGAGTCTCTAACCTCCAAAACAATCCAGGGGGCCTGGAAGACTTGGAAAAAGCCTTTGCCGATATTCGTCTGAGTCTGCCGAACCGAGAAGGTGGTGAAGTAATGAGAGCACCGCCTGGCACTAAACTTAGCTTCCACGCACTGCCTGTAGGAAAACTTAAAGTCCAGGTCGGAACCCACCACACCGATGCATTAGTGGATGGCGGCGCAAAAATTACCCTCATACGACGGGATTTTGCAACGATCACGGGGTGCACAGTAAACAAGGAAGTAGCAGGGAGTATCAGGGGAGCAGGGGGAGAAATCCCCTTCACTGGGTATGTCACGAAATGTGCGGTCAGGGCAGGAATTCGGGAATCCATGTGGTCTTTCCAACGGATGACCGTCATGGAAGAAATGAACCATGACATAATCCTTGGGAGACCTTGGTGCGCCAATGTAGAAATGATTGGCATGCACTTGCATGACGGCACGTACATGGTAGACATAAAGGATCCGGTGACAGGTCGCGGAGAACTCCTCCGACTCCTCGGAACTGGAGGGGACCCTCCCAAGGGTAAACTGGCAACCTGGTCGTCGACGTTTGAAGAAAGTGCCCGCAAAGGCGCAATCGCACGGATGGAAGGTATGAGAGAAAGAGTAGAAATCATGATCGAGGAAGTCTTTAGCAAGAAGGAGTGGATCAAGATGGGTCTACCCCTGAAGAAGAGGAGGCAAGAGGACGAGGCCCTCGAAGTTATGGTGGAAGAAAAAGAGTCGGAAGTCGAACTTGAGGCCAGCCTGCCCAAGCCAAAGGAAGGCCGGAACGAAACGTCGGAGGTGGTGCTTGAAATCCCAGATTTGTTACAACTCGTTAAGGCCATCAGGTACCACAAAGTGGGTGTGGACCCCGCAGCGCTTGTTAGATTTGAGGATGGGGTCCGAAAGGGCTACTGTCTGAATGGGAAGCTAGTCAGCATCCAGCCCCGCGTCTTGGAGGTAGCAAGGTCGATCCCGACCATTCATTTTTTAGGAGAACGATCCCAGAGGGCAGTGTGCGAAAATACAAACCCGTAAGGAAGAAGGTCAAGCCGGTCTCGATCCTAGTAGAAACATCAAGGGAAGAGGCCATGGAAAAGGAAGAGGAGATCCTACGGGTTATAAGGGAGAGACGCGCAACGGAAGGTCATCGCATACCAGATGACGTAGCAGATACCATGAAAATAGGAGTGGAAGGGTTCCTAACACCGGAAGAAACTCAGTTGATAAGAAAGGCATGTCAGGAGTTTCATTTAGCTTTCGCCTTCAACGATCATCAGAAAGGGCGATTGGACGCAAAGCTGGTTCCCCCTGTCAGGATCCACACCGTACAGCACGAGCGTTGGAATGATAAAGGGCCCGCCTATGAGTTTGGGATAGCTGCGGAGGTCACCGACCTGCTTAGAGCCAAGATAGATTCTTTTGTGGCTGAACCCACCGCATCCCCTTACGCGAACAAGTGGTTCGTGTTCAGAAAGCCCAATAAGACGCTAAGGTGGATCCAGGACCTGCAGAAACTCAATGCAGTAACAATTAGGGACGCAGGCTCGCTTCCGTAGGCCGACTTGTTGGCAGAATCTCATGCGGGGCGGAGCATTTACTCCCTGGTAGACTTGTACTCGGGATATGATCAGTTGCCGCTTGATGCGCGGGATAGACCGTACACCGCAATGCACACCCCCGTAGGACAGTTGCAGATGCAAGGTACCCCTATGGGTTTCACAAATGTGGTAGCAGAGGAGCAGAGGAGGATGCTCGCCATCACAGGGGATATGTTTCCAGAAAAGTGTGAACCGTATATAGATGATAATCCCGTAAAAGGCGCAAGGTACAAGGTCGAGACGGAGGTCGAGCCGGGTGTGCGAAAATTTGTTAGGGATCACCTGCAGGATATCAAGGATCTCCTACAATGGTTCTTGCTCTATAATATTACCGCAAGCTATAATATTACCGCAAGTGGGCCAAAGAGCATCCTGGTCGTCCCGGAGGTAACTATACTGGGATTTCGCTGTGGGGCCTATAGGAGGAGACCCGACCTAGCAAAGACAGATAAGATCTCTCAGTGGCCGACACCCCTGCATACCACGACGGAAGTACAAGCCTTCCTAGGGGTGGTTGGATTCTGGAGGATCTTCATCAAAGGGTTCGCAAAGATAGCAGAACCTTTCCGCGCAATGATTAGGGAAAGTGGCACTATGGATTGGACTGAGGATAGGGAAGAGGCAGCCCAGACCCTGAAAGACATCTTGTCGTCTGATCAGGTTATCTTAGCAGCACTCTGCTTCAATGACGAAGTAGGACGGCCCTTCATCCTAGAGACAGATGGCGGCCCAATGGCAGTAGGAGGCGTATTGATAAAGAAAAACGAGCAGGGCAAGGAAAGACCAATCAGATTCGAGAGTAGGACCTTGAATTCGGCAGAACGGCGGTACTCGCAGTTCAAGAAGGAGGTCTTAGCAATCCTACATTGCCTGAAGACCTTCCAGGACTATCTGTTCAGAAGGCGATTCATCTTAAGGATCGATCCCACCAATGTTGTCGGGGCACTGAAAAATTACAAGCCTATAGATCCGACCATCGGCAGATGGATAGGCTTCATATGGCAGTTCGACTACAAGGTCGAGCGGATCGCGGGGCTTCGGAACAGGGCGGATGGGCTGAGTAGGGTATGCATCACGCCGGAGGGAATAGAGGACGCGGAACCAATTGACGCCTTCCTAGATTACGAAGGGGGGGTCCTTGTTGTGGATAACGAAATGACCGACTCAACGCTTACAACATGCCAATTGCTGATTCAGACCTTGGAAAAGGGAACGCCTGCAGTAGTTGCAGAACTCAGGGAAGGACCAGTCACCACAGTCAGGCGCAAAGGGGGAAAAAGACTCATTGGGTGCGGTCGTAGGGCCCAAGGGGGAACTGATGGGAATGGCAATAGAGGAGGGCGGGACGCCGTGATGAACCTAGCAGAAGCCTGGGTGCAAAGGGAGCGACAATATTTAGTTAACCAGAATCAAGAAGGGCAGGATGGTGATAAAAAAGAGCAGGAATTTTTCCTCATACAGATGTACGAGGGCATCTTCAGAGAAATCGGTCTGCTTCTGGTAGGCAACAAGTAGCCTAGGGAAGTCAGCCCCAAGGCAAGGGAGGAAGCAGAGAAGTATGTCTTAAGAAACGGTCATCTGTTCAAAAGGGAGGAAGGGATGATGCCTAGGCGTGTCGTCTGTGGAAGGTCTCGGCAGTTGGACGCAATCCAGGCAATGCATGATGGGCTAGCTAGGGGTCACTGGTCGTCAAAGGGGACACTTGCAAAGATCGTGCCCTTGTATTTCTGGCCAGGAATGACAGGCATGGTCGCAACGTACTGTCGGACGTGTCTAATATGTCAAGAGAGGAGCTCCGGGCGAGTTTACGAGCCCCTTAGACCCACTCGGGTACTGGGACCCGGACACCTTGTTCACCTCGATCTTGCGGTTGTGCCCGTATCGACGGATGGGTCTAGATACATCCTGGATGCAAGGGATAATCTCAGTGGCTATGTAGAGGCCGTAGCCCTCAAAAAGAAGACGGGGAAAGCAGTGGCCGATTGGGTGGAAGATATCTACCTAAAACACCACTTCGTGCGCAGGTTTATAGAAGACAATGAGACAAAATTCGTTAACCAGGAGGTGTTGAACAGGCTTAAGATATTGTGCGTACCAATCAAGATTACTGAGCCCTACCATCACGAGGCAAATGCACCAGTAGAAAGAGGGCCCCAAACCTTGAAAAACACAATCGCTAAGCTTGCAGCAGACAACTTGGGGAACTGGCCACGGTACGTTAAGCAGGCAGTCTTCTCTGGGAACATGACCCCAAAGAGAACGACGGGATGCATTCCAGCGGAGCTATGGTATGGAAGGGAGATTGACTTCCCAGTGGAGGCCCTCGTCCCTACCTGGAACAGGTTAGACGATAATTCGCACTTGACCACGGAGGAGTTAATCACCGCACGCTGCCAGCAGGTCGCCAGGAATGAGGAGGCATTGGAGGAAGTAGTTAATCGTGTAACGGATAGCCGAATGAAGGACAAAGCAAGGTGGGACCAGGTCAAGAACATTCGGAAGGAGYCACTCCAGRTGGGGGAGAAAGTGCTAATTAGAAWCTCGRCCCTTGAAAGCACATGKKCTGGGCAGCTGGRAAARAGATTCAAAGAGCCTTACAGGATCGCTAAGCGGGTGGGACTGAATACGTTCGAACTTGAGGATCTTGATGGTACTAGCATAAGAGGACCATTTCCGGGACAGAGACTGGTCAAATTTTTTAGCAGGGATCCGGTGGAACAATGGTTACAAGAAGCCGAGGATAGGGAAACTGGGGAATCGACAACCTGAAAGGCAGGAAGCTGGCTATAAGTTCTGGACCGCCTCCCTGTGGAAGTGATCATGACCACAGGGATTGTTCGTTTGTGTGTCTTGCTTTTTGTGGAACGTGGGGAGATTGTCTGGGCTGACTGTGACTGGGTTTGGGAGTACGGGACAATGTATTATAGTTTTTGTGGGGTAACGCTGGGGACTGTCTATACGAGGTATTTAGGTGCTGGGATAATGTACTATAGTTTTTGTGGGGTGATGCTGTGGACTGCCTACATGGGGCGCCTATGTGCTGGGACAATGTGTCGAGTGTTCTAAGGGATAATGGGACTACCAACTATATGGGGGCAAGCAAGAGTTCTAGGGAAGCCTCCAAAGTTGCAAATGAGAGTGAAAGGGAATGCGTGTGTATGAGGGGTTGCGGTAACGGTTATGCATGAACAGGACCAGGCAAGGAGAGAACAACAAGAAAACAACAAGATGAAGTTCGAAAATGAAAATGACGGCAACGCCATCAATAGGCCTACTGAGGGACAATCGTCGAGATAGGCTGGAGAATCAAGCTCAAGAAAAAGGAAATTGTATGTAGGGTTTGATCACAACCTGGAAAAAGCAAGGGACTAGGGGACCTTCACCACCAAGGGAGGGGGAGCCAATAGTCCTCCCCTCTGAAAGCGATACCGGCAAGGAGGAAGAGAGGAACCCAGGGAAAAGGCCAAGGTTGGAGGAGGAGGAGTCCATCGAGGTCATAGACCTCAGTAGCGGGGAAGAAGAGGACGAAGTGACAACGCCCACAAGGGAAGATCGGGGAAGAGAGGAGGACCCAGAGGAAGAAAAGGACCCATGGAAAAGATAATTTGCGCCGACTTTCAACGATTGGTTCGATCAATGGTCCAATATTTTGCATTATCAGTGGGCAATGAAGGGCAAGGAAAAGTTGAGCAGGGGAGAAGACATATCCCCAACAACCTTCTATTCAGAAGAAACGCTTCTTCATCTACAGGCGATAAAGAGGCTAATGGAGCAAGAGATGGAGGACCGTGCAAGGAGGGAGGCTCGGCGCAGGGCACCGGGGCAGTAAAAGGGGACAGCAGGCATGATGGGAATAGCTGGAAATTGGGGGGAGGGTTGGTACCTGGGCAGACACAACGACCATTTTGAGTTTCACACTTGAATTCTATTAAATGGATTGAGATGAGGCAACTTTTGACTAAGGACTGGGCAATGGGTGCTACTTCGTATGAGTCGTTGTTTCTTCAGGAAAAACACATAAGGATTAGTGCACTTAGATATAAAATTGTGACTGGTTGCGTTGGCTAAGGGCAAGCAAGGGGAAAACAAGGGGGATCTAGATGAGACGAGTCTGTAATGTTGTCGTCGCATTCGACCTTCATCTCCTTTTTTTTTTGGGAAGGACTGCAATGAAACTACTTTGTGGATTGAAGAAACTAGTTGGGGGGGGGGGGGCTGACCAGTGCTACTTTGTATGAGTACTCGCTCCTTCCGGGAAATATGAGTTTTTTTTTATAGTAAGAAAGAAACTGGGGATGATCGATGTTGTCTTAAGGTCATTGGAAGAAACGTTGATGACGAGAGTTTTTCCTTTTATTTCTGTGTCCATGATTGAATGAGTCTTTGCACAAGTCCTTGTAAGAGGTTAAGGGACCTATGGGTAAAGAGGCATGAAGGACCCTCTTCCCTAGGAGCCTAATCCAACTGGTTCCACGTCGCTCCAGAACTGCAAAATGCATGTGAGTCCAGAGGAAGAGAAAACATGGAAAGAAGTTAGCACCCCCTGTAATGGTTGAACGGTCGGGTGGGCTAGTGCTGCTTGGGGATGCGATCTCCAACTCGAGCATTAGACACTAAGTCGGATGTACGGATGGATGTAAGATTGGCAAATGGCATGAGGGAAAAGGAAGAAGCATGCGTAAAAACCCAAGACGATGGCCGCCTTCCAACCCCTGAGACAAGATAGGATCCGTGTCCTCGAGGCCCACCCCCTCGGGCGCTAACGTTGAAAGGGACAAGGATGACCCTAACCAGGCTGTCCAATTGAAATGGATAAGGATAGTCCTAACCAGGCTGTCCGATTGCAATGGATAAGAATGACCCTAACTAGGCTGGTCGACTTGGAAATGGAAAGAACGACCCTAACCAGGTTGTTCGGAATGGCCCCTGTCAAGGATCATTCTTTGGAATTGACACTGGGGTCCCCTTGCATGGCTGCTTGAGATGCATGACATTGGAAGAGCTGAGCCTTGGAAAAGACATTGGAAGAGTTGAGCCTTGGGAACGACATTGGAAGAGATATTGGACTCAGGCTTGGAAGAGGTATTGCATTGAGCATTGGACTGAGAATGAGCACCGAACTCAGATTGAGCATGAGAATGGGACTGAGCATTGAAATTGGATTAAGTATTGGAAATTGCATTACATAAACAGGGGACCCTAGGCAACTGGAAATGGACGTGGAAAGAGCTTGAAATGGAATTTCTCTTTTCCTCTAGTCTTTGGCCTCAGCAAGAGGGGGATACCGGTGCATGCACCGCGACCCCAAGACCTCTATCCCTTTGAGGGAAAAAGTCTCAGCGCGACCTGTTCCTCTTCGAGAGGGTGAGGGTTAAAGGACTAAGGCAACTACCACTTGGATCGGTGCGGGACGTCCAGAACCACCTCCGACAATGAGCTCTAGTCGGGGAGTTCCAACTGCGCCTCCTGTTCAACGCCTAAACGTCGAAGGGCGAGAGAGCCAACTACGCAGGAAAGTCATTCTCATTTAGTCTATTTTGCTACTCTCCAACCACACGCCACATCATAGAGGGGTGGCATGGCCGTTTGGGTCGGACAACGGCTGCCCGCACTAAGTTGGGCGGCACTATCCAAGGGGAGAGGCCGACGAGGTACCGGGTGGAGTTCGCCACCACCACGGGGCATTGACACTGCCCTGCCGGGACATTACAACCGTTTCGGGACTAATTGTGAGGTCTTCGTAACTGCACTCGCGAACTGACCGAGAGCCCCCACTCTCTTGAAAGGAAGAGGCCGGAATCCAGAAAATCACCACTCGGGAGGAACCATTCGCGAGGAACATTCTTACGACTAGACGAGGCCCTGGCAGGCTTGGATTGGACCTACCTGACAGACGCGGGGAAGAACCTCAGTATTGGTGCTCACCACGTGAGAGAATATAGGTCGAACCGAGTAGAAGGATGAGGCGTCGTTCGCTGGGGAGGAACTGATCACTCCTCCTTTTGTGAAGCGGATGGGCTTGTGTCCTTGCCTTGCGGTTGGCGGGCCAAAGGTTTGCGTACCTCCGAGTGAGAACCAGTCGCGCGATGGGGACATCGCGTTTTGAGTGGGGGGAAGGTGTGCCATCTACCAATGAATACGCATGAAAATAAGACTTGTAATTGGTTTTGCATGGGCTTGGGAAAAAGGGGCCTGTCAAGATGGCCGAAACAGAAAAAAATTGTAATCGGCTTTGTATGGGCCTGAGAAAAGGGGGTCTGGCAAGACGCTAGAGCAGAAAGGACTTGAGCAAGTGACATGGTATAAACTTGAGAAAAATGGCTTGGCAAGATAGCCAGGAAGGAAAGGGCTGGTGTGATTGATTCTGTGTAGACCTAAGAAAGGAATTGGCAGACTGAGAGTTGACTGTGTAATTGGCTCGTATAAGCTTGAAAAGATGAGAAGTGGCTAAGGGGTGAACCAAGCATTGCACATGAAGAGTCAATTAAGTAAAGGGTAAAAAAGGGCAGAGGATGATATGCATGCGGAATTGGCAGGACCTGAAAAAGGCCGGGAGGAATGACCCGGGAAGAA